AATACATATATATATATATATATATATATATATATATATATAACCAGTTTTTCTTGAAAATAAAGTGACACTTGTATTTTAATCAATAATCCAATATACGTATTACTATATCTTAAACCATCAAAAACTTGAAATCTTCATCGTATGTGTCCCATCCTACATCTAAATCAACAGTGACATGGCTGGAGTATCAAAAGTTTGGTCTATCAAGCACACCAAAGAAATGGGCAATGTTAGCTAGACTAGAATACTAAACCATGGGAAAATTCATTTAAAGGATATAGTTATACATGTCAGACTTTGACTAACTTAGCATATTTTAATCATGGAAGAAGAGCATTTTCATTAGCTCAAAACTAGCACACAGAAAGAATTATCACTCCCACTAAACTCAATATTAAATCACAATCAATGTTACCTTGCGACATCTCCATCTCTGATTAGCAGTTATTTCTTGAAGTTCCAAATGTACTTGAGAAGGAGATAAAAGTGAGAATATGATGTTATCATGGATTGAACATGCATTAAACATGTGCAGGAGGCAGGAACACGATAACATCTTGCCTACCACATAATCCACTAAAATAGGTATGCAAGACTAGCATTATCACGGGGTAGCAAAAGGATATTCTTTGCAACTATGCCCTCAGACATTGCCTGGAACCTGGTTTGCTGCAAAGTCATTTTTTTGGTTTAAAACATCAGCATGTATAGTCTCTGCAAGAAACAAAAACATTTTCCAAAAGTACTGGTGACAATACCATCTGCACCAGAAGGTTTTGAACCTGAAAAGGCAAAAAAGAGGAGATTGTTGAAGAGAAACCTATTTGTAAAAAGAAAAAAGGTATCAAATATTCAATAAAAAATTTAAACGTTTAGAAATTGAAGCTGAATCCTTCACTGTTACATAAGTAAAAACCCATGTCAAGTTCAACATGTCAATTTGCAGACTGAGAAATCAAATTGGAACTAATTCCTACTCTTCTAGCAATCGGTTGCATAACAATGAAAGAAATGAAAAGATTTTAGCAAGGAGACAATCAGTCTAAAATACTAAGAATGCGGCATGACAGTACTCACAAATGCGGTCATATCAGCAGTATTCTGAAATGAACCTTCAGATTCTTGATCAGCCTGCCGTATTATCAACAAGTCCATTTAGCACATATAACAGATATTACTCAACAAACATCTATTTATAAGACATAAATGTTAATGACATATGTGAACAGTTAATGAGCTGCATGCAACATTAAGGGAATTTTAGATGACCAAAAAAGATACAACAAGAACCAACATTTCATTCTGCACATATGACCCAAGAAAAAAAATATCATACAGCATGATTCTAATGAAGACAATGCTCATGATGGTGCTGATAGTATTTGTACAAGCAACCCTGAAAACATAATGCCAGCAGACTCCAAACTTTACTTCTTGCAACAATGGCATCTGCAGATGTTGCTTATGCAGAGGTACAAAAGATTACCAAATGCAACAAGCAGCACAAAATCAGGTGTTATTCAAAGCAAAAATCAAATAAATCAGGACACATGCAAACCGAACAAAAGTAGTTGAGCAATTTGGAGAGTATGATCAGCTTTAAGGAAAATGAATTCAAGAAAAACAAGATTTGACAGAGAGAAAGAACAAATCCACCACAGTAACTTAAAATTTTCCCATCTGAATTGGTACTATAAACATAATAGACTAAACTAGCTCTACCCATCTAATCAACACAAAATGCATAGCAAGACTACCTCCAATCTTCCTAAAAGAAAAAAGAGAATAAAATAAAATAATATTTGTTTATGATAACTTTTCTAAAGAACATTATAGGACTGTGACATATTAATATAGGAATTAAGATATTCTAAGAATTAAGATACCTTTCCAGAACGTAAAGAGATTGCTGATATCAGAAAGGAAATGAAATACTTCACCCTATACAATCTATCTTTTTGCCATGTCACCGAAAGGAATTTCAACCATCCAGACCAATCTAGTGGATATAAGCAAAAGTGCTTTATTAGGGCAGCTCTGATCATAATGTACAAATAATAAATATCTGTGATCGATCATCAAAGAGCATCTTTCTGACAACAAGGCCTAGATGCAAAACTCTTTTTGTCGAAAGGCCACAGGAACTTGCATGGATAAGCCATGCACCAGACCCGTGTAGCGAAAATAAGCTAAAATCCCGTCACCTTGAAAATGAAATTTGTGTTTCGATGTTCTACAATTTCACCTGGACGAGAATCAAACTTGCATGTGAAGGAAAAAAGGTAAAATTTAAATAGAGGGCATTATGAATTCCTGTAATGAATTTGAAGAATCCGACTCCATAATCAACAAAAAAATCCACTACAAATCGGTATATACACTCCGCTCGTATACATATAATCGGCCACAAATCCATAATGTCAATTAGAAAACGTTTCCATGGCTTCGAGCATCTTCCCACCAGAGGCATACCACGAGCACGAAGATGGATTGGATTGCAACATCAAACCTCCAAAACTCCCAGCAAGGAGAAGGAAAGCAAAGAAGACAGACAGGATACCTCGGCGTACGACATCGATCGATCGATCGAAGGAAGAAACGGTGGACTCAATGCACGCACGAGATGCTTAGGGTTAGGGTGTCAACATACTTACCTTGGGGGCGAGAGGATTAGTGGAGGCCATGGATGGCGAAGCGAGTGAAACCCTAGATTTGGCGAACGCGAAGAGAGGCTCCTCCTCGTCTTCTTGGCTAATCGATCACCAGAGATGGAAGGAGTAGAAAATATGGGATGGGATGGGATGGAATGAGTGAGTGTTGTCATCCTCAATATAATAATAAAAAAAAAGAAACATTTAGGAGGAGTCCAAATGTACAAATGGTAATTTAGTGCTAATAATGTTAGGATTGGGATATGTAAACACTCTATATATTTAATTTATCTTCCTTATAAAAATATCATTTCGTTGCTTTTTAAGACTATTAATAATAGAGATATAAGGTTTACTTACACATGATGGAAAGTGGGCCTATACGAATGATTTTTACTGCTCAAATAATCTTTTTTTTTTTTTGTGGTTTGTTTGATAAGGGGCTTAAAAAAAAATGACTAATTTCCAAAACTCAGAGATAGATATTTGTAATTCCGAAACATAAACTAAAATCAAATGAGAGTATAGTGGGAGCAAAAAAGGAAGACAGATCTAAGATAAATGAGACATTAATCAAAATACTAGGAAGGCTAGTTAGAAATGGATGAGCATATTCTTTTAACTTCAAATTATACTTGTTTGTAACCTCATCATCATCATCATCATTAGCGTACACAGCTGCATGTTAGTGTTTTATTTGCACACAACGTAACAAATCCAAGGGACTCGGATCATAATAATCTGTGGATAAGAAAGAAAGAAAAGCTTACACTCTCTTTCTTGTTCCTTGAAACGAATACAGAGCTTGCTCGCTTCTTCTTCTTCTTCTTCTTTTTCCAACTCTAACGAATACTGATCGGTATGCAAACGAGTTCGTTTCAGACGGTAATGTAAGAAAAGGAACAGCAACGTCTTCAACGCACGCGTGAGAGATTGATTGGTCAAACCACGTAATTGTATTGGGAAAAGGCCTGTATATAATATTCTTTTCTTCTTTTCCCCTCTTTATACATTACACGAGTGAGTTATAAGATGTGACAACCATTTGGTAACTTAATGCCACTGTATAATCCGTGCCTTCCTTCTCTTCATTGACTTCATTCTTTGCTACTGTACATGCCTCCTTAACAAGCTCGATGAGAAGAACTACACTGAGCCTATGATTTTTCTGATACCAACTAACCTACAGACTCTTGTACTCAGATAAAAATGATCACCATGTACGTTATGACAGGTGCAACGACTAGTGGAAAGCTATGGAGATTAAACTAAATAAACAGGCCATGAAGCAAAAAAAAAATACACAGAAATATCACCAGTTTGTCCAAGAGATCACCTCCAGATCTAATTTTTGTGTTTCTTCACTGCTTTTATGTTCAGCAGAACATCACTTAGAATCCAAGGAAAGCTGAGGAATGTGGTTTCGGGATGATAGTCCCGGTGATAAGTCACATGATACCATGCCGATGCCATCCTCGATGAGTCCCTCTCAGCACAGCTACATCTGAACCACCCTTCCACCTCCTGCTGCAAGCTTCGAACCCCCACTAGCATCCGATCTTTCATTTCTCCATACCTCTTCTTATCCTTTTGCAGGTACAAGGACTTGTTGCGCAGGTTGCCGGTCAGTATCTCGTCTTCGTGTTCTGCCCCATAGTAGTTCATCAGTAAGCTCAACTTCTCGGAGTACCGATCATAATACTCTTTGGCAGGTGATAAAAATTCCTCAAAACCTTCAACTTGGAGATCATAATCATAAGCAGATACTTTGGAGATCGTGGCATCGGAATTTACGTCTTCGAAATGAATCGAAGCTGCTCGGTACAGTTTTCCGATAACTCCAGGGGAGATGAACGTGGACCTATCCCATCTTTCCATGAAATCTGGGAACTCTTTGGGTCTGAGTACTCTTGGCATTTCGGCTGGAGCTCCAGTTTTTGCAAAGTCGACAGCCTCGGAATGAAGGTTTGCGAGTTCAAGGCACTTGGGACTCCTGGCTTTCGTTGGTTCGCTGTCTGCATAAATCAGATGAGTGGTTGATATGACGCCCAGGGTGTCATTGATCATGTAATCAACAAAGAACTTTTGTATTTCCTGCGATTGGAAAAAAGGAATACAAGATGAGACACCTGCAAAAGATCATGATATGCCGAGCAGAAGTTAGCAAAAAACTTTTCTCAGGAGGTAATTTGTCCTACAAGCAGAACTACTTTAGTTAAAGCAAAAAATTGTAAACATCTCTATGGGTCATTGATTCATGAAATTACCCAGTAAAGCATCGAATTGAGACCTTACTTTCAATGGAATTGAACTTTTACTCACATGGGTTCTACTCAGTAACTGAATGGTGCATGGCAAGATATTTCTTCAAGACAGTTTACTTTCATCCTCATAGTAATAAAAAATATATGCACAACTTTTATCTGAAACATTATCGGGAATCGATACATGAGAAAAGAAATATCATACCTTGGACAATATGTTAAATTGAAAAGGACACCAGCCATTTTTACCGGTACGTGGGCACATCTAGAACTCATTTCTATTTTAAGGGCATGTGTTTGCCAAACAAAAACAAATGCGTTAATAGGTATTCAAACTACAACCTCTAGCTGGATCTCAATTGCAATAACTTATTGCCCAAAATTTACAAGCTTATGAAGATATCAGCACAGTATCTTGTATAAGCCATATGCCAACATGTGTTTTTGTCTATGCTATGGAAATATGTAAATTTTTTAAGCTGAAGGAAAAATATAAAATTGACAGTTCATTGATACATGAAATTACCCAGTAAAGAGTGGAACTGACACCTTACTTTCCCATGGAATCAAATCATTACTCTCATAGGTTCTACGGGTAATTTATGCTGCACGAGCTTAAAGACAACTATCATTCTCACAGTAATCAATATATGTATTTGATCTCCAGCACAAAATTGGTAATTGATATATGAGAAAAGATACATCATACATTGGAGAATGTTTTAAATTATAATGACACCAGCCATTTTACTGCACTCAGGCACATACAGAACTCTCAGAAGCTCATGGGTTTGCCAAACGAAAAGCAAACACATCAATTACAGTACCTTTAATGTCCAAACTTCACAAACTTATGAAAATATTAGCACATGATCTTGCATGTCACACAATATCTTGTATGTCATAGACCAACGTGTTTTCGTCTATACTACAGAAGTAAATACCAGTAGCAAATATCCCAACATAATAGTCTCTCCCTTGTTAATTGCACAAAGAGTATAATAAAGTAACCACAACATCAATCACTACGGATGCAAGTTAGAAAATACCTCTAGTGTCACATCATGATCCATGAGCCGTGGCCTTCGAGGAGTGTAATCCATTGGTGTATCAGTTTCTGGTGGGATAAGATTTTTGTCCCAACAAACAAAATACAGGTCGCCATCCAAATCTCCACCTGAACATTCATTTGGATGAGGCCTGCATATAGATGTTTATGCACATTAGCAGCATGTTTTACATAAAAAATACTTGAGAAAAGATTTGAGATGCATATCAAAAGTCCAAGATATAATAATTTCACCAGAACTGACCTATCAAACAAGCTAAAATTGTGTTTGACCTGATTATCCAAGGTACTTATAAATTAAGCAGCACACTAAAAGGAATCGGATGATGAAGGTTCCACTATCATGTGAGGTTTGTCTTCATCCCTAGTTACTTGTAATTACTAATAGTAATTAGGGATGTAAAAGTGAATTGGCAAAACTGAGAAAATGGACCAAACCAATGCCTTTGATGCAGCTTGACTTGGTTCCACTATATTGGTTGGTTTGGTTCAGTTCAAACCATGATGAGAACCGGACAACTTTTTTGTTCAGTTCAGTTCAGTTTTAAGACTTAATAAAACCATACAATCCAAACAAAACTGAACATTGTATAATCATACCATGTCTGTGTAAAATTAAGAAAATGTCTTTTCTATAAGTATTGTGTTGAGATCGGCAATGACATGAAGAGGCGGTGGATCACTGCAAGTGTGAGTTTGAAACCTTTTCGCAAATCAAGAAGCAAGTCAAGCAAAAGAAAAGTATACACAAGTCTTTTATGATGGTTTGATCTGCAGCTCACATACAATTACGATTCCTCATCCCTTGAGGCTATTGGGATTCACTGATGATGTTCCCTCAACAGGTGAAGGTCAAGGCTCTTACACCTTCCTCCTTCCAAGATTATGGAGACAACTTTACGCTTGGAGAAGCTCCTCTTCACAAGGTCTCTCTTTCACCCTGTCTAACTAGTAACTCCACTCAAATCACAGGAGTTGAAAGACCAAAGAGAATGAAACTTCACGGGATTAACCCTTCACAACTCAGAGAATTTTCACACTTCTCTTGCACTTAAAACACTTAAGGTCACTTTATCCCTTATCTCAATGACTCAATCAATCCAGGTAGTAGGTGTATACAGACGCTCCAAGTCTTTCTTTGCTGTAAGAAATCAGTATACTGGCAGTGTGGTATTACAATCGATCATGGCGATACTATGGATCCCCAGGGTGGTATCACAGCATGGATTGGGCGGTGCTTATGCATGAGCTAATTTCATCCCAATTTTAGACTTCAGTTCAATTTCAGCCAAATTTTCATCCTTTTTCGTACATGACCTTGTTTATTGATTTATTCTCACCTCTTTTAAACCTTAGATGAATCGGAAGAATACTACTTGAAAACAAATCGATTTTAAATGTCTGCATATTTACTCAATAAAAGAATTAGTCCATCAAGCTCATCGATTGAGTTATTCATTGTCAAAATACAAAGTCAAGATATTGTACTTAATTATTATTGATAATAATTCTTGAAAACAAATCGATTTTAAATGTCAGAATACTTCTGGAAAACAAATCAATTTTAAATGTCTGCATATTTACTCAATAAAAGAATTAGTCCATCAAGCTCATCGATTGAGTTATTCATCGTCAAAATACAAAGTCAAGATATTGTACTTAATTATTATTGATAATGCCATAACTATAAAAGTGTATCATAATAGATATACTTGTATGTAGTGCATTTACTAAATTATAATGACACATAACATAGTGTCCCAAAAATACAATATATTTTCGAAATGAACAAAAGCCAAAGGATTTGGTAATTTTCCTATAGGTCAGTTCAATTTAAATTCTAAACTGAATATGTTTGGTTTGATTTCTAAAGGAAACATGCTTGGTTAGATTTCTAAACAAAACATGTTTGGTTTGGTTTGAAGTTTCCTTAGAAGACAAACTTAGCACTCCCAGATGAAGATTATTAGGAGCAAAGACAACATTACTTATCTGAAAGACATAAAATTGAAACATGCTAGAGACAACAACTGCCTCCGCAATGCAGAAAAAGAGCAAGGAGCTCCCTTGACCAAAGATCAATGGGAGACTGCAATATCATTATCGTTTGGTTTGTTTGGTTTTCTCATAGCTGGAATTTGCTTGCAATAGAACCACAAAACAGAAGTTTAAAGAAAATAGGGTGTGGGCTACTAGTGTTCACTCGTATACCAAATATTGCAAGATTCATGCATATGAATGACTGTGTGAAAGAATATTGTGATTACACAAAGACCAAATCAGTGGTATGCTTCTCCCCGTGAGTTCCCACCTATTTAGCAAAATTTCAAAATCATTTTTAATAGGTGACTTAAAGATTATTGATCATAATTTGATAGGTAACTGAATGATATACAGACTGATTCATCATTGAGAGGCAATTGCAAAAATATCTTTTGGTACCTAACCTTTTAAAAATAAACAAGACACAAGCGTCAAGGGTGAAAATATACTCCTTCAGAGAACATCCAACAGCAGAAGTTTTCTCTGTAAAACTATTTCAAAATTTTAGAAATACACTGACCTCTTTCAGCCGGTCAAATCTGGATGTTGTACAGAAGCAAGTTAAAGTGCCACAGCAAGGAGGCATAGATCCAGAAAAGAAGTTGGGAATCGTAGGTCTGAAGACATAGGACCAAGAGCAAGATAAGGGAGATCATAAGGGTGAATGAATAAATATTCATGGAAATTTCCAGCTACTTTATCGTATGGAGTTATAATTAGCAATATTTCATTAAATGAGAGACAACTAGATGTCTCTAGAGATGAAAATTTACTATCTTGCTACTGGAATATCTAACCAGAGCTTGCTATTTGCGTTATTTTCGATTGAGAGAAAATCACACAGACTTATAAATATTTTCTTCTCTAGAAATGAAGAATATTTATCAGAAATTCATGGGTAAATATACCTTGTTCCTTTCTGAGGGAATATGATGCAGTCAACTAAGCCCATATCATCCAACCCAACATCATAAACAGCTTGAAGGACCCTAATATCACCGGGATGGAGACATGGATTTCTGGTAACCACCACCTTTCCAACTACTACTGCACTTGTTTGGTCAGTATTTCTGAGAAAAGTTTGATCTTCATTCTGTAGCTCTTCCTTTGTCATAGTCACCTTGATGTATGCCTGGCCATAGTCTAAATTGCATGTTTCATCTAAACATCCAATAAGAACTCGGCCTTTTGGAACAAAGATCCGACATTTACTTCTTGTATCAGATAACTGGTAGTCCCGAGAGGCTTTAAGCATCATTGACAGATAAGGTTCTGAATTTGGGTCATAACCTTGCATCAACATCTTTATAGCAGTTCTAACTTCAGAACCAGTCATCCTATCCAGTACCCTTAAAGCAACCTCTTTGTCAGTTAGCATTTTGCCCAACTGCTGCATTTGGTCATGTTGCATAGATTCAAAAATTTCATCCTTTATTCCCAGTGTTGACAGGAGACAGATAATCTCCCTATTCAAAAAACATGGTAGATATTCACTCCATTTGGTGACACTAAGCATTGTGTTTGTTGATTCAAACTTCAACATACTTTTCCGCAATGATAGCTTCCAAAAAGAAGTTCTGTCAATGGCTATTACTCCTTTGTAACCACCATATCTAATTTGAAAAGCCGACGGAGTATTTCTTAACCCACACTTTTTAGCAATTTGTTTAGCAAAAGACAATGAAATTTTTCCAATACCATCTGAAAAGCAATATTTTTTGCCATCTTCGGTAGTAACTTCAATATCTGGAATGATTTTGACATCCTGGCGTGGGACATTCAGTGTCTGCACAGAGGAACTGAATAATTGACCCATCCTAGCTGCGCACTTGGACACGCTATGGATGCCACTGAAATGACCCATCCATTTTCTAATGCTCTCTGCGGTCAAATTTTCATTAGAGGCAAACATCCAGACAGAATTTGCTCGAAGCTGACTTGCTGAAAATGCCAAAAATTCAAACTTCTTTGAGCCAATGTGAAGCCCATCTTTGAGAACAGATAGTATGCGGGTATAAATACCAGTTCTGTGAGGTTTAGAAAGAAAATTTCGGTCAATTGTTACTGAGATTGCATCAGAAGGAAGCTTGCTCCAATCTTCGTCAACAAAAGAAACCCTAAGAAAATCAGATGCATTTGTGGAAAAATGCTTCACTACATAATTAGAGGTCTCAAGTTCAGGGCCTAAACAGTAAACTTTTGTTGGTGTCACAAGAACTCTATAACAACTCATTAAGTTCTGTGCTATTGTGCTTTTATTGGATGAGGGAGCATGGAAATTTTTTATCTTAGCCAGCTGATTTTTAATGAACTGCACAGGATTATAGCAAGTTGAAGTCAACTTATGCATCTTCATAAGGATTTTTATAGCACTATCTAAAGGCAATCCTTTGAAAATGTCAAACAGATCAGTAGTGACTTGTCTGAAAGTTATTTTTTGCATGTGGACCAGAGAATTTATCTGATAAAGAATCTCAAATGCCACTGAATAGTCACTAGGGCAATTGACAATGGGAACCAGCATCCATGAAGGAGACCACAGTTCCCCCTTAAAAAGGTTCAGGTCCTCCAGGACCGTGGAGAATGGCAAATCTCTAAGGATCTCTGGACATGACAATCCTGCTGCAAGTTGCAAACAGTAACAACAAGATTTCCCAATAGTGTTATCTGGAGAAAAATCTGAAGTGCGAAACCAAGGAAACTGAAAGTCTTCTCTACAAGCACGGTAGCGGTCATTGGATAATTTTGACTTTACCATGGGCCCATGGATTCTGACGTAGCTTCTAGGTGAATATTTGAGCTGAGATATTACAAGTTCAAGATTCTCATCAACAGATAAATTTAAAAATTAAGATAAGAACCACTTTGAATAGTACACATGGAATTCGAAAAACAGAAAAAAGCATGAGCAAAAAACAGAATGACAGACTTTATTTACTATTTCTTAACAAAAACTATGTATTAGTAAGTATGTGGAATACACAGTCAGATCAACAATTTACTTTTTTCTTCCTTGGGTAAGAATACACTCATCTTTTGTGCCAAATAAACAATAATAAAACTGTATACCAACTACGCTTATTTAAAAAAACTCAAGAATTTCACCTATTGTTGCCGACTTTGCAAGTACATGCTCGTTCTGTGACTGTAATGGTCAAGGGGCAAACAAAAATGCATATGACTTTATTATGTATTTAATCTAAACTCATATAGAGTGTATACATCATTTAGACAAAATCTTTATTAGTTTATTAACTTTATTTCAAGGTTTTCAGAGGGCTATAGAGCTGGATGGTACTATCCTCCATATTATAATTGGAAACAAAAGGATTTTTCTTGTTAGTTATGGGAAGGAAAAGTCCAAAGGTCTTATGCAACATCAAATGATGGAAAAAAGAACAAAAATATATATATTATTACCACTTAAGCACTCAGGTCCAAATTTATGGGTATTATCAAGACCATTAAGATAAACTATTCATTCACTAAGAGGCATCATACCCTATGAATCTAGAGAGACAAGAATGGCTAATGTTATCATACAGATGACAGAAAACTGTGGCATGATGATCAACTGCTTCAATTTCAGTCTACAAAATCACGGTGCTATTCGTTGTTAATTTGCTAGAACAGTAAGGAATTAATATCCATTAATTGTTTACTTTGAAAATGTTTATTCACATAAATTTAAGTCCTATCACCAGTTCTACAACCTAGTCAACTGAGAGTTGAGAATATCTACATCAGCCTATAATTTGAACATATCGACCTGTTAAATGCAAGACTTTCAAAATCTATTGTACCATTGATCTTTTCAGAGGTGATCTTGAACAATTAACAGAATCTTAAAGCAATTTATGACAGCACATAGACAACCAAACATGATTACTAAATGAATTCACTTATTTTCTTCAAGCTTGCTTCTCCAGAATGTTGCGGTGAATATGTAACCAGGCATTGTACACAGCACTGATCACACCTTAGGAATAGGTTTCGCCTAAAGCATGATCATCAATGACTTCCACAGAGAGTTAGCTAGAAGATCATCATCTCCAAACTTTTTATCTGGGCGAGTGCAATGAGATTTACATGCAAAGACACTATATCACGCAGGTATCTGAATAGGTGAGACGTAAACCAGTCCTAGAAATGGTGGCAGTGGCACAGATCACGTCATTCTAGGTGGCCCAGCTTAGCATCCATTTGAAAATCTTGTACCTAGATAAAGATTTCTCGACATCAAAGGCTATTTCGTCTTAAAATTGGTCAGGTATTAGGAATAGAAAAAAAAAAAGGTTAATTAGCACGTTCTCCCATCCATCTTTCTTAATATACACTACCAATTTTTACAATGCTCCAGTAATCATGACTCCAAAGTCCAAACTGAAGTGAACCTATATATAGGCCTAAAGAAGAAGCAGAAGAAGAAGAAGAAGAGACGAAGAATAAAGCTTAAACCTGTAGTAGAATGGCGTTCGATTCGCTTCCATCCAAGCAACAACCGCAAGACGCAATTATATCCCCGAACATCACCTCCAGCTTATACTTCTCGCCGCTCTGTTCGACGAAAAGCTCCAACTTTTTCCTCTCCGGCATGATCTCTGCTCTCACCCCCTCCCACACGCCAAAGACCTCCATCCGGTTCTCACCCACGAGGACCCCAGCGCGGAGAACCGCCCCCTCGACGCGGTTCCGTCCCTCGGCAGCCCTCGCGACGATGTCGTCGCGAGAGCGGGTGATAGTGAGGCGGGCGCACTGGAAGTTGGGCAGCCGGCCCTCGGCGGCGAGGAGACACGCCCGCTCGGCAGCAGCGAGGGAATCGAACTGGACGCGGCCGAAGCCCCTCGACTTCCAGTTCCTGCGGGCGGTGGCGATCTCGCAAGCGAAGACAGAGCCCACGGCGGCCTCGAAGTACTCGAAGAACTCCCCGGCAACGGCGGCCAGGGGGATGTTCGAGACGTGCACGGTGGCTCCGGAGCTTCCCATTCCTGTGACCGGAGACGTGGCTAGAACCCCTCGGCGGGGGAGAACCGAGGCTTCGGTGCTAGGGTTTTTGCGAGGGAAGTGAAGGAAGACAGTGAACAGTTGGCGGGAGGGAGAAAAGGGGAGACGAGACATGCGTACGACGATGACGGGGGGCTTAGCTTAAGTGAACGGAGTTCGGATCCAACCCGTTCGGATTCGGGTTCATTTGTTTCAATCAATAACCCGAATGTGAAATTATTACTCATTTGCCAAAAGGTAAAGAATAAGAAAATTCATGTCACTTGATCGAATCAAATCAAATCAATTAATTAGGTTCGATTAACTTGATCAACTAATTAGACCATAAATCTCATGGGTCTGACTGAGGTTTCAATTATTGAGCCTCCATGCAACTTTATTTTTTGGGTAAATTTTAATCTTGTTCTCAAGTTGGGATTTATGATGTTTTCAACTCAAATATTGTGATTAAGCATATGATTATATATTGTGATGGATAGTTTTGATTATTATATGAATCACGATTCTATGTTTCGTTACAATACCTCCCAACATCATTCTATATGGGTCTGATACCCTATACTTCATGATGAGCTGGTGTTCGATAGGCCGAACATGGATCAACTACAACCAAACACATCAGATTAGGACAATAATCATATTTGTTACATTAACTATATATTACTGAAGAACTCTCATATAAAATTAGTATTACTAAATAGACATCACAGAGAACAAACCTTAAAAATCCCAATAAATTTAGTGTCAATTGCTTTTCCAAAGTGATTCAATTCATCTGAAAAATTATACCATATCAAAACAAAAAATAAAAATAAAAAACGTAATAGCTGGAAGAAAATATACCGTTCCAACAATAAATTGGCATAATAAAAACTTAAAAGGTGACATTAGTGCATTTTAGTCAATAGCAATAGAAGGTAAAAAAGATTTCATGCCACTTGAAATTAAGTCAATGTGAAGTAACAGCTACAGTTCAAACAAATACAGAAACAACAAGTACACACTTTGACATTGTGGAGACATGGAACAACAGCATGAACCATGAATGTTGTATTTGCTATTGCTATGGTTCGGGGTCCAAATGATTGCACCTCAGGGGTCTGCATCTCCAGCAATGTCAACATTGTCGGACCCTGTGACTTCGTCGTCGCTGATGTCTTCATCACTTCCATCGGAAACATCTTCCAGCTTCTCTCTCTTTGCGTATCGCTCACAGTACTCTGTTTAGATGTATAATTTAGTAATCTGATCAAGGTTGATAAAGCTTACAAAATAGATACAATTCATTGACAAGAAAGATTAGCATGTGTTCCTAGTTACTTGAAAAAAGTTGATGTGTGAAGGCACCTGAGATGTTTAGATGACAAGCTAGTCTCAATGTAAGATATATCTAATAGGTATATGACTTCTTTTATGCTAATATGCACCTTACTGTCACCTTTTGTCTTTTTTTTTTTTTTCAAACCTCACCGATGAACTCAAACCAAACGGGCACTCCAACCACTGACATGAATGTCACTCATGCCTGAAAGCACATAATGTGTATGTCTATGTTGTAGTTTGAGGTTTAAGCTTAATCTCTATTCATTAGAAGAAAACCAAAGTTCAGAAGCAATACGAAACAAAAAGAAAAAGAGAAGAAGACGGTGAAAAAAAAAAGTGAGATATGAGAGGACAAAGAGAACTCTCTAATTCAGGAGATGCTAAGAGCTGATAGCTCAGAATAAAAAAGTTCGATAAGGTTTAAAAAAAAAATAGAATGCCCTACCAATCTTACATCCTTCCTCTTTTATAGATCTCTTGTACATTGAATCCCTCAACTATCTAATTAATAAGTCACAATTTACTAAAATTCAAGCACAAATTATAATACATATTAAATTCACGATGTATTGTACTTTAGTGGTTTTGAATTTTTATAACTATCTCAAGATACGAACAATTTTCTTGAAATTTGAGAGGGTTGAGCTTGGAATTTATTATCTTAAAACTTGGGAGCATTGCTTACCATGCACTGCATCAAGAAGCTAATCTGTTTAGGTGATGACACAATTTATATGTATGCACTCCATGATGTTTTCTGTGATTGTCTTCGCCTACACATAGACCCGTTGGCTTGTCAACAAAAATATTATATTGGCCTATGATGGAATTCTCTTCTCTCTTTTCTTTCTACTTTGCTAGACCATATATATCTGGTGCTTTTACTCTATAGAGCTCCCTAATTGGAAAAGGGTGCCAGCTAATGAGCTATAACATCTTAAGACTGCTATACCAAATTTTGTACATTAAAAATAAATATCATCAATATCTCTTATAATTGCATAGCCTTGGATTTCCATTTGGTCTCCAAAGGATGAACTAAAAAGTGTCATAATTCCCAATCTCAATACTACTATGGACCAGGATGACCAGCCAAAAGGTTGCTTCTTCATGATAATACCATAAGACAGCTCTTAACTTTGAGGTGTCCTCCAAAAACATAGAAGAAAAGCAAAGAAAACAGAGATATATAACTTTGAAGGACTTCGATCTCAAATTGGAATTTTAGGAATGAATTTATCAAGATGAACTAACACATCCCTCCTTGCTCTTTGTATATCTATCAAGATGCTGACAAGATAGAATGAACTTCTATAAGAATCTTGGAAATGAAGAAATATCCAAAACACCAGAAAATATCCTCTTGTCAATCCTTCACCATATTATATAGCAGCATCCTGACTCTTCAAGCTGCACAAGCAACTAATAGAATCAAGGGGAGAAACTAAGTGTTTCATCTACTCTCGGTGACGGTGCCTTAAGTAATTGAGACAGCCTATGCTTAGTGCAGCACTAGAGGGAGCCATCTTCATGACCAAGTGCATTGGAGAACAAAGCCACATTTTAATAGTTTAAGGGTAGATCATAAACAAATGTTAGATAAATACAGCTGAAATTAACTCATGGCAGCTGCTCTTAGATTTGCCACCTCATCATAAAATAGCTTTTCACCATTTGTTCGTCAAGGTATAACCTAAACCTCTATTTATCATTAAACATAAAAGAAATATATCATGTGCACAAAAAGTTGACTGTGATCACCTGATAATTGATAGAAAATCATGATAACGGCACACATGTAATAACATCCCTGCATTCCTTATATCATCAATCAATCTATGATTTGAGGATCAATCACGGATTTGATTGTGTGATTTGAGTACATGATTAATCTCTCCCTCAAAACCTGTATAAATATTTATCTTCTCAATGAATGAAAACCATTCCTTTCACAACATATTCCTCAATTCTACGATCATGTCTCATCAATGAGCTAATTCATACACTAAATCATCTTCTATAATGAAACAACTATTACTAGATGAATTCTGTGAACTCTTCTGGCTCATGATGGTTTAAAACGATAACCAAGTTGCCTACTATTGCAGTGATGTCCCAATAAATAGGAGATTATGATTTCCATACGAAGTGCATGCATATGTTTCTTTATTCTACAAATAATAAGAAGAAGAAATATCTCAACATATGAAACAAATTATTATAATTGCAGATCATAGAGACATGTTTGGTGATGCATAAAGAAAGAAGAAATAAATAAATTAAAGAAATTCATATACTATCAAATGAAAGTTAAAATAAGTATAATAAAAAAACTAACAAAATATTTACCTTTTACTTTTTGCTCGTATTGCTGTTGATCCTTGAGCAACAGTGATGCTGCATCACCATTTAATGGATCTGCTGGATTTGGATATAGCAATAGCTGTGGAAGAAAGACTTCAAATATGTTCAGAAGATCTGCAGCACAATGCAGTCACATAAGAAACTGAAATATCAAGCACCCATCTAGAGTATATCATATCATATGGATAAAGGACCTTTATAAAAAACAATTCACATGAATGGGTTGATCAATTAGTAATTTAAATTATGGTTATACGCCATAACATCTAATTCTTCGAAATGTATAAATATCTGAAGCAAAATAAATTTACACCTGGTTCTTATAGAGGCAAGTTCAAATAATTTTTTTAATCAGTGATTCTCCATGATATACACAAAGAAATCACTTTGATGCAATTGAACTGTAACAGTCTCACCAAACATGGGGCTCCATGACTGGTTGATTACGTCCAAACATATTGAGCCAGACCTGTAGCATAGAAAACATGGTTATGAAATTACGAAGAAATTGATAGAAACAACTAAAATTAGCCAGGAAGCATTGTTGTGTGAATCTTCCATTTACATCACTAACTGGTCAATTGAGGCTAGCAATTAGCACCAAATTATATGATAGAATATATTTGTAAGCACCATGCATCCAATTACAGATCAATCAGTTTTAAACATCAGCTTCCTGATAGGTGAAAATATTGGGACTTTATCATGAAAATCATCTGCGAACAATAATGTAAGAAACATTGCAATGTATTTTACAATTAAAAAGAAAAGGACTTCGTATTCACAGTTCATCAACATTCGGATGAAATATTTTGTTCAGAAAGCCAATCGAAGGAGACTTGTATGGGTATGCATCTGGCAGCTCAACACGAACTTTCCAGACCCCACCTTCGTAGGGACCTGCAAGTGCACAAGATAAGAAGAAACAAGATCATGGTAATGTTTGAGTGCAGCAGCCGCTAAATAATAAAACTTAGTAAAATTATAGATTCCAAGCATGAATTACTTTCTCCCTTAGTGTCAATAGGAACCAAGTAAGCATGTTAACATTAAGTATCGCTTAAGAGAAGCATAAAAGTAAATAAAGCTTGTTAATATAATAGTCTTCTTGGAGTCAGCATTACTTTTAGGATTTGGCCATTGATTAATCTGAGTAAAATATATATTACAGACATCTAGGTTTCAATTTAAGACTAAGGTTTTGGGTTAGTTTCGTGCATCATGAAGCAAATATAGAGGAATGATAAATATTTACAAAGAAGAAAATATATCCATCACATTTTCATAGGTAACCACTGCAATCAAGGTCTTTTAGATTGTTAACTAGGTAACTCACCAAAATTACAAAAAATCATTTTCTCAGTCACTTAAATCTCAACTGTCTTAACAACATAAAGAACCCATCTTTCAAATAATAAACAACTAAGAGATAGTTCACCTATCTAGAGGTCTACACAACAATATCAATATTATTTCAATCAGAAAAATTATGTGAGGAGAAAATAGAACATACTTTGTTTGGGCCCATGAAATTCCACATTAAATTCAGTAAGGCCATCGTTGGTGGTCTCCACCGTATAGTCACTCATCATCCTACAAAGAAGGAAAAAACAGAAATTTGGCCTTAGCACAAATCTCACTTGGAGAATAGAAGTGCAAAAATGCAGTGACTGCATATGATAATTATGGGAGCCCATAATTATAAACATGTCACTGTTAGAGAAGAAAGTTTGACATGGTTTTAAATGCAAGAACCAAAAGATGCTATAAGCAAGCATTTCCAAAGCAAGTGCACTGGGTGTAGTGAAAAAGGCAATGGTGTTCATTCACTAGCAGTTACAAATTCTTTCATATGGTTATAAATATCTGTATGCCACATTACATTTTTGTTCAATATTCAACACAGAAAGCACGTTTATCTAACTGACTCGCAAATGAATGCATAATGTGAATATGCTTGGTGTGGATCCACCAGGAAAGAATGCAAAGCACAAGAAATTAATTATCATTATTTTTAAGTCAAAGAGCCTCCATAAAATATTGAAGCAGCATCCTAAATTCCAGACTAGGAACCAAATCTCTAAACATGCAAATTTTGAGAAGAAGGTCTTTGCTAAAAATAAAAGGCTTGCGAGAGATGAGGAAAATTTTGCCAAATTCCAGTTTATGATATACATATTGATAGTGGTGTAAAATTATGCAGTGCATAAATGAGGACAGAGAATGCATAAGTTCATTATGCCATTTCTTTATCGTGGTGTCTACATTTGCCACTCCAATAAATGTCATTTCCATCAAATAACAGATGAAAAGACAATAAACCTTACAATTTCATGACATCCATATCTCGTCTCTTGCTTGGAGAAGACATCTTACAGTAAATTATCTTCCAGTCTGACCTGCTGCATGCCAATAGTTAACTAAGACCCAGAAAAGATATAGCAATAAGATGTCCAGAAGTAAATCTGATCTTTTTAAAGATATGTATATATGCAAAAAAAAACTAGTAATTCAATGGAATAATAGTCATTTGATATGAATCAATTTCTATTGAAGAAAATAGAATGTTGATTCCATGAAACAACGAAGGAATACAGAATATACCATATCTTAGGAACATAGCAAGAGAAAAAATTTACATACAATTGGTTTGACTCTGTTCCTACTTTTATTTATGCATCATCAACGAAACAGTCAAACTAGAGCAAGGCAAGTTCCTGCAGTTAAAACACATTATCAAATATTAACAAATAAATTTTATCATAAGAAAATAGGCTATTGCATATTGAAACATGTTAAGCTACATGTTTGGGGTTGTAATCCATGGAGGAATGTACTCTACAGCAAGTTAGAATATGTGCACTGCTACAACAACACCGCGTAAGATTTTAATTAATTGTTCCAAATGAATGCTTTGTTTCCCAATTTACATGTACCTACCTACTGCAGTCATGCTCGATGCATTTTTGCCTCTTCATAAGGAGCAACAAATATAAGTAAAAGAAAAAAAGAACAAACTAAATCTAGTTCGATAGCTGAGAGAATAAACCACTACTACTATGAAGATTTATCTGTTGTTTCCCAGAACATTTAATGCAGCTCCATGATAAAACAGAAAAATCACCTCTTCTAGAACCAATGTTTTCGGTTCATTTCATTACTCTCTCATCATGAACACATACACATACATGGTCTCGGGATCATCTTTCCAGTTGCTTACTTTGCCCCAGTTGAAATTTGAGCATTCATGCGACTTCAGGTGCAATTTTCAAGAAATAATGCATCATGTGGCAGAACAAGAGGGAAGAGCAAAAGCTAATAGTTTTGATGGATACCAATGCGCATCAAAATCCGAACAACAAATCTATGTAACGCATCTGCGTATATCAATCAGCATGAGGCAAATCCATATAAACCAGAAACAAATCTAGGCTGCGCCGGTAATCATCTCTTACAGTTGTGACGGCAGTGACTCCAGCTCTGACGGCCAGCGTTTACATGAAGCCTGAAGGGGAGGAGGCGAGAAAGGGGAGACGGAAGGACGCCGATGGGGGACGAAGAGGAAAAGAGGTAGAGAGAGAGAGAGATTGGGGAAGAGACTTGCCTCGTGTCGATGTAACGTTCACAGGGGCGGTCGGGTTTCTCGGTTCATGCATTGGGCTTCCCCATGGACGCTTGCGACGGCTTCTCAGGGTTATCGGGTTGAATGCACTCGGCATCCGAATCCCAGATCCGGTAATTGCGGATACCGGATTCCCCGACTCTTAAACCCAATCCACGTTCAAGTTGGGTTGATGTGGATCGGGTCGTGGTCAGATTTGGGCCGCCCACATCGGACCGGTTCGTTTGGATTTTATGTATTGAAAATATAATCGGTCAAAAATTTCAATGATATTAAAAAATTTCTATAACCCCTTTTTTATTATTTATAATCTTATTTTAAAGTTTTTAATATTTTTAAAGTATTTTTTAAAATGAACGTAGATATCTCTTCCTCGTCTTTTACCTTTTCTTCTTCTTCTTCTTCTTCTTCTTGGAGTGAGTTACCTGATGCAATTGAACATTTCACAGCCGAAAAGAAGAGAGGGGCCACCAAAAGAGGCCTTCCACAAGCCAGCTAACCCAACATCCATCCGGTGTCCCTCCTCTCTCATCGGTGGGTGTCAAACCTACAGCCGCATGAGACCTCCCTCCCTCATTCATGGATGGCCACCCCACATGCTCCCCTCTTCCAAAGTGCTGCATCATTAGCTCCACCAGCAGCACATGCACCATTAAAACTCTTCTGCCCCGTGAGCGAGCAACCTAAAACCTAAACCCGATGCTGTATGTGGCCCGTAGACCATGTCCGCTCCCCAAAGATTCTTATGATTGCCCAAGCAACTCCAAGACATGGACCGAACCAAGTATGTAGTGGTATCGCATCTCTCTCTCTCTCTCTCTCTCAACTTAGAGGCAACTAGCGGGGCCTACTACCTCTAACTCCATCGAATGCCCAAGGTTGAAGATGGCTAGAGACTACTCGTGCATGAGCCGCCAAAGCTTCTCTCCAACTTTTGTGGCAAAGAAAAAGGGTGGTGCAAACTTCATCACCATCATCATGCTTGGCAAATATGCAATGTGCCATGAGATGAGGGTCTGACTCTCGTAGCACACACGAGGACAACAACAAAAGTGTGAAATATGAACTTGCAAGGGTAAACCCTTTGTTGTTAAGCTCATGAATACTTGGTACTCGAGTGATGAAATGAAATGGATGGGTATTTTATTTATTTGACTATAGCAAGCAAGCATCACCAAGGTGAAATAAAAAAGGGTAATGTAATATGGCTGCTTCCATCATAAAAGAGGATGAACAATATTAAACTATTAAATTATGACATACCCTAAACAATTACTCTTCTGAATGACCATAAGAAATTTTAATACATATTGATGAGAAGAACAGTCAGATTAACTCATTTTGGGAAGGTTTTACAGCAAGCATAGACAGATAGATAGATAGATAGATAGATAGATAGATAGATAGATAGATAGATAGATAGATAGATAGATAGATAGATAGGTGCAACTCCAGTCACAGAGAACATATATTGGACAAAAATCCATAAGGTGGCAATCGCATCAACCTAAACTTACAAGAAATAACTTGGCCAAGCATGAAGGGGAAGAAAGAATGGAGAAGATTGGAGTAGGAGTGGCACCCACGCTTCCCTGTCAATTAGTAGTACATCATGTGCTTCCATGTGCAACAGTCCCGTTCTAACACCTAACGCAACAGCTAAGGCAAAAGAAAGGCCATGCATCGACAAGAAGCCGCTTTGTTCACTTGCTAATGCACTTCCTCTTGGATTAAGCTGGCCATGTTCCTCACCGATGGTCCCCCTTTCCCACTGCACTGCCTCTACCTACTCTCGACTCCACACCGAGTGCTCATCATTCCCTCCTCCACATCGATTACAATCATCAACATCTAAGTCGGAGGTCAATTTAATGGCTCATCAGCAGTTTGCATGGTATTATTTATGTGTGTTGGGTTGGTCGAATTAACAAGGCTATCGCTACGAGTCCCTCACCTTCTCTCTACGAGTCCCTCACCTTCTCTCTACTCGGACAATAAGTCAACAGTTGTTATGTCTTATTCGTACTTGCTCCCCAGTGCAGCAAACCTGACTCGGAGTCAACCGTTGACTAACTGGTCATCTATATGTAGTAGTAAAATAGATGTTATGTGGATTTTGTTCGCAGAATTTTATTATGTGCAATCCCAGCAAGCCTATATTATTAACACAACAATATCTGAAAGTTGCAAGAAAAAACATAAAACTATTTCTCCCATTTGCTTTGCCTATCTCTCATTTTGTTTGTTTGTTTGTTTGTGATCAGCGAAACACACTCGATCTGACTTGTGCCGCATAAATTTTCTTATCCTATCTCTGAAGCTACTTATTTCTTGAATCTGCTCTCCATCAAGTTGCATAGAATGGTAAATTTCAATTATTTTTACGGCCAGTAACAAGTTTTTTCATCTGTGTTTCTAAATATTATATGCTCGCTCACATAGAAAGCAACAATATAATGTCCATTGTATCCTCAAATTAGAGATGACAATGCACTGTCTTCTAAGGAATGGAACTACAGAGAAATGTATCGTCACCATCGCATGTTGCAGTTGCAGGCAAATCAGAATAGTCCGGCAATCACCACCGTAATTTTATGGAGGTAATATGCTATTAATTATAGTAATTTTATGGAGGTAATATGCTATTAAAAAATACTATTAAGTGATATCATATTACGTCTTTTTTATTATCATTACTCGTATAAGATCATTATGATATCATAGTTTTAGGCTTATAGTTGGTTTGACAGAAGTTAGAAGTTCATTTGAATTATTTATAATATTTTTACATAAATTTTATAGTATTTTTATTATGATGATCAAAATATCTTAATAAGATAAATTTTGAATTCTATTTAAGCGATGTTGTTTCTAAACTACAAGTTGCAGGTCTTCGTGTAGTAAGAATGTGGCACGCATGCATGCATGCATGCATGCACGCACGCAGTAAAACCCGGGCACAATTGACGTGGAGCGGCTGCAGTCAAATCCTCGGCACAGTTGTCAGTAGAACAACACGTCACACTCTCCGGCCCACGTGCCAGAGCTGTCAGACACGTGCCCCGGAAATGCCGCGGCCTCTGTCATGAGCCCACGTCCAGCTAAACGACAAAATGCCGCCATGCTTTGGAATTTTCGCCCCCGCTATCTAACATGGCTTTTAGCAGCATCGCTTCCTTTCCTCTCTCTCTCTCTGTGTCAATTCTTATCTATATATCTTCCTCCCTTCACGCTTCATTTATAGGCTCATTCGTCCTCTCTTTTCTTCAAGCCACATTGCTCTCGTTCATCTTCTTTCTTATGGGAAAGGCATGGCTAGAGGAGGCAAGGTGGAGACAGGCTGGATTCCATAGGTTGAACAGATCCACACGCCATGGGATCTGTGGCATGAGCCGCCGAGGGAAAGGGAGGCGGCCTTCGCGTGCGGCGGCGGCGGCGGCGGCGGTGGAGAGGAAGGTGAGGACGCTGCAGAGGCTTGTGCCCGGCGGAAGGCGGTTGCAGCCGGAGCAGCTCTTCCTGCGCACCGCCGACTATATATTCCTGCTGAGGCTGCAAGTGCATGTCCTGAGAGAGCTTTCCAAGTTGTACCTGCCATGAGCTATATGCATATAAATGGATGGTGATGTGGGCTGTAATAGTATTGGAGTTAAGGGAATATAATACATGTTCCAATTACAGCGGTTTTTGATTCATGGAGTTTTCAGCTTAATTGATTGATTAGTTGTGGATGATTAGCTGCTTCATATTGTACGATCTTAAGATCAAATGCTTCCTTAATTCTTTCCCTTTAAATTCTGTCATATTGAGTTTACTTAATGTGCCTAAGATAGTTGTTGACTTTTGTTTCATCATATGAAGCAGATTATGTGCATGCAATTCTGGAAGAGGTCTTGATTTTTTTTCTCTACCCTCTCTCTCTCTCTAAAGATCTGTGTAAAAGAGAGAGAGAGAGAGAGAGAGAGAGAGAGAGAGAGAGAGAGAGAAGGTCTAATGTCTTCTTTGAGGTCATTCCTTTTCCCTCTTTAACATACTTTTTTCTGCTGAGAACTTAGCATTCGAGTTGGTGCCAGATCTGTGTGGAAGATGGATAGACCAATCTTTCTTATGGATTCGTATGCAGAAATTTAAAAGCTTTTCTTTGTTTCTATGTGTCTCTGTTCCTTTATATATGTTCGTATGGAAATCAAGGAATCATCAATTTTAGGACATATAGATGATGATTTTTAGTTTTTTTCATGGTCCATGCGTGGGCATGAAGATACTTCATACTAGAGTTCTTTTGGTTGTGTTATGCATTGAATTATTTCGACTTGAAATGAGAATGAGAATGATTTCAATTACTCTGTGATATTCCAGCTAATGGAATTGACTTTTCACAGACAGATTTATAGAGAGACAGGAAATGTGGGAATCATCAATATCTTCCTGTCAACTTTTTGCCTTTTCTTCATGGATCAGAGAGTATGAGTTTGAGTCAAACAAGGAGAAGAAAACAAAGAGAAAGAGAAGCCTCTTAGTTAGTATGTATATATGAAAGGCAAAATAATAAACATCAGGTTCAATTCATTTTTACATATAGGTAAAATATACATGCTATCTAATCATTTTGGTTTATAATTAATGATAACATATAAGGCTTCATATTTAGATTTAGCCTCTAACAAATATTAAAGGTTCCAGTAAACCTAACTTTGCTGGTCCCTAAGAAAAAGCTCAGATTTATAGCAACCAATAACTCGCAATGATGCTACTTTGGCAATGGCAACCTGACCTGTTATTCCATGCTTCTCTTTGGAGTAAAGGAAGAAACGAGACAATCAACACTATACCCACCCACCGTCCAATAATGAGAAGCATGCTTGGAGACTCCTTATATGTTTCTTGGCTGTTGTCTAACAGGTATAGCAGGCATTTCCCCAAAGTGAAAGTGTTGGGTGAGAAGAACAAAGGAAGGGAGAGGGTTTGGAAGCTCCACTACATATCTATCTATCCATGTACCGATCGACGTGTGTTGCTGCTAACCTTGCATGCATGCAGTTCCAACAATAAACTATTTTCCCAGTGTTAGAATGTTGAAGTCATATGGCTCACTCTCTGTAAACACAACACAGTCAAGAATCGCAACTATTTTATTGCTTCAAAGTTTGGTTTTGGTAGAGAAATAATAATAATAATCCTCGGTACATATAATTAGATGGATTCATTTTACATCAAATCAAAGTATGGATTCATTTTTACACATACAAGCAAAGAAGAAGAAGAAGAAGAAGAATTATGAAGTCATTCGACAACACATAAAACAAAACAGAAATGCTTAATGGCACGGTAAGCAACATGTTTTTGCAGACCAACTTAGCTGCTATGATTAAGAATAATAGCCAGGAGAAGATGGCTCTCATGTGCATTCCCCACCGATCGAATGGATTCCCATTATTCAATAGAGAAATAGGGGGAATTAAAGAACAAAAGCAGCACCCCTCTACTTCCAATTACCAAAATCTTTCTTATCTTGCGATTTGGAACCCAATAATTTGCTTCCAAATCTTGACAACCATATGGCAGTCGAGCAGAAAGTTACTATCTGTTAATTCTTGTGTTTCTGAAACCCAGTAATGCTGTTTATGCGGAGAAACAAGCAGCAGATTTTTCTTTTTTGCGAAAGTAAATCAATGGATAATGCCCTCCTCGATTGGAGATTGTGAGCTTAGAGTCTTTGATGCACAAGCAATTGATAACATGATGCCACCATGCATGCAAGAATGCACATTTACCTGAGTTGGGTGCTTTGCCGCAAACCAGAACCATCAATAATATGATCGATCATTCACAAAACAACCATTTTCCAATCATGAACTTGCATTGTATATGTATCACGAGCACATCGATGACCAGCGTTCTCTAATCGACTCCGGAGTATTATCCATTTCAGACACACACTGGGAAGACAAGAATCATCATATGCACATCCTCTTCGCCTTCTCGGATGTCTCGACAGAAACTACGGCTACTGACCAGTGGATACAAAATCATCCATCCCTCCCAAGAGAAATCATACGAACTAGTTAAACAAATCATACGAAATCATCAAGTATCAATCAATGATGACACACATGATTGTAGCAGGTGGCAACGAATTGATTTCATTCCATCAGCTATAAAGATTGTAGGGGAACCAATGCATGATGAAGATGATGATGATAGTCTTATCTTTTGGGAACAAAAAGCAAAGATAAGTAAAAAAAGGATTTGTTTTCCATACACATCCAGTACATAAATGGGGCCAACTTAGCTTTATGCACAGTGGGTGGCAACTCTGAATGCATTAGGTTTATCCTTATTCAAATAGATTCTATTAATAATAATTATTATTATTATTATTATTATTATTATTATTATTATAGTCTGAATCGAGTACAAGAATCAGCAATAGATCACATCACCTTCCTAAAATCAATTATAATCAGAATTAACAATACATATTAATAAATAACAGATGACATCAGGACAGGCGAGTGACTGAAAGCTTCCTCTCACCAGCTCTCACCACCCGGTGCTCCAAACCGTGTGCAACGGTCAAACTCCCCTCTCCTTTCCTTGTCCTCTTTTCCCGCCACCTCTCTTCCGTAAACTAACGTCCTTCTCTTTCGACACCACTGCTGCCTTTTACTTTGCTTATCCTGCACGTACTCTTTGCTTTCCTTGCTATCCTTTCCCTTCTCTTCTCTTTACTCCTTTTTGCCGGAACTGTGACTCGGTGGTTGTTTGCTCTCCCACCCTCACTTGCCTTTCATTCTTAACTCCCAAGCGAGTCCTCCTGGGTCTAACCCGTCCCTTTCTTCCCGGTCTCACTCTGCATCAGCCTTCTCCCTTATCTATCTCCCTTCTCCTTCAGGCCCCCCTCAGGGAATTGCAGCAGCCTTCCCCTGCCAAAGCCGATGCCTCTCTGCGTTTCCCACCTGAGGTGCGTGGGCATTGCCACGGTCAATTTGACTGCTTTGAGCTTTGGTCTCGGGTTCTTTGCCGGGAATAAGGGCAACTTCCATGTTGTTGTTTCCGCGAGATGAATGTTACGTTGCTTACTTTCTTGTTTTCCTTTTATGATTTAGTTGGATTTCTCCTTGTGCAAGTCATTCTTGTTCCAAGATCGTTTTATCATTCTCCCGATTAGTATCTTCTCATCTTCTGATTTTTGAAGTGTTTTTTGCACTGTTTTTGACGTCCCTAATATGTTTGCGGTTTTGATACTCGAGTCCTGTATATATGATACTTACTATATTGGTTTTTTAGCTGACGGTCGGCTAATTCTTTTCTTGAAATCAGGAATTCTGCAGTTTGATTCAGATTTTTCGAGGGGTCGATATGCCTTTCAACATTGTTTCAGCATGGAACAAGAGAAGAAGAAGCAAATCCCACGATCATATGGACCCTTGTACGTGATATCTTTCATTTTTCTTGTTGATTTTTAAGAAGGATGGTTCTTCTCGAAACGAATCTCTTCATCTCTTGATTTCTTGACAGGGATATATGAGCCTGTTGATTATTGGCAACTTAAAGGACAAAAACCCTCTTTCGGAAGGCGCAATTGCTCATCTGTTTTCACTCTCAGGGAAATGGAGGAGGCAACATCTTCATTTAATGAAGAGAACCTGCTCGGAAAAGGAGGATTTGGCCGGGTGTACAAGGGAATTCTCAGGAATGGAGAGGTTCGTGAGTATCGCCATTGTTTTCATGGAAGATCAGGCATCATTTTCAGATTCCTATGCCAGTAGGAACGACACACATCATTTTCCCCTGTTTACACCGTCATTTCGCTCGCTTCGAATTGTTTCATGTTCGTCATGGAGAAATTAACCGATTTCCACTTTGATTCCATGCATCACCACCTCAAAATCGACAAGTTTATATATTCGTTTTCTATTTGTCAAATGTGATCATTTTGGTTCTCGATAATTTTGTTCTGAGTTTTCTAAGACAGTGAAGTAACAAAGAGAAGGACTGTTGGCGAGTCGGCACACACCTGCTTTGATGCTTTCTCATACTGACATGTATCGAACGATTTATAGGTTGTTGCGATCAAGAAGATGGATTTACCTCCTTATAAACAAACCGACGGTGAACGCGAGTTCCGAGTAGAAGTAGACATCTTGAGCAGACTGGAACATCCAAATTTGGTAACACTGATCGGATATTGTGCCGACGGGAAGGATAGGTTTCTCGTCTACGAGTACATGCCAAATGGAAACCTTCAAGATTATTTGAATGGTTGGTTCCATTAAGTTGCAGTATCATCTTAATCTGTTCTGTATGAACATCATTCTTAATCAAATTTCTCCCGTCCATTCATAAGGAATTAGGGAAACAAAGATGGACTGGGCTTTGAGGCTGAAGGCAGCACTCGGAGCAGCGAGGGCTTTGGCTTATCTCCATTCCAGTTCTGCTGCTGGTATTCCTGTTGTGCATAGAGACTTCAAATCTACCAACATTCTCTTGAATGAATACTTTGAGGCCAAGGTAATGAAGAGATTAAGTATCCACGAATTACGAATCTGATGCAACTTGTGGTGCTACAGTGTTGCATGGCATGACTGTGATGATTGCTCGACTCCTCAGATTTCTGACTTTGGACTTGCTAAGCTAATGCCAAACGGTGAGGATATATATGCAACCACAAAGCTCCTAGGTACTTTTGGCTACTTTGATCCTGAGTATGCATTGGTATGCATCCACTTCCTCTTGATTTCTTAGTGAATTATGATTCATAACTAGTTTCTAAGCTCTGCTGCAGTCTCTTACTACAGTTTCTGAACTACCCTGCTTCATGCTTTCTTCCAATTAAAATAGATTGATGTATCAGAATTGAGTTTTCCGCCGCCCAGTTTTATAATCGGTATTTCGAAAGGCAGGCAATCATCTCACGCTTTAGTGTCATGAAGGTGGCTAATCCTTTCGAAAACAAATGAAGACGATCGATGTTGTTTAATGTTCTAAATTCGGATACAATGACATGAATGTCCGCAAGGCAGTTTATGTTCAGCACTCTTCCCCGAAGAGAGTCAAATTTCAAAGAAGAAACATGTTCAAGTTTTTTCTTTTTCTTTTATTGCTTTGAATACTTTCCAACTTGAAACATGTTCAAGTTTGATTCCACAGTAAACAAAAAAAAAATGCTTAACTAATCCTTCTGTATATTTAGTTATACAGTGCTTTCTTTCTAATAACTAACTCTGCAACACCTACAGAAAGCTTCGTCTTCTAATAAGATTTCCTCAATTTTTACAGACAGGAAAGCTCACCTTACAGAGTGATGTCTACGCCTATGGCGTCGTCCTGCTTGAACTGTTGACCGGTCGGACAGCAGTAGAACTCAACCGGGGTCCTTGTGAACAAAATCTTCTGTTACAGGTACAGGACTTTGAATTGTAGGATAGATAACCTACGGGTAAATGCAGTAAGCTCATGAAGGCTTACATGTTCTAGGTTCGACGTCTATTAAATGATCGAAAGAAACTGCGAAAAGTGGTTGATCCTGACATGGCTAAAAGCTCATATACCATGGACTCCATCTCCATGTTTGTAAGCCTTGCCGCACGCTGTGTCCGCATGGAAAGCAGCGGGAGGCCATCCATGGCAGAGTGTGTGAAGGAGCTGCAACTCATCATATGCGCCAATACGAGAGTATAAACAAACCATGTTGTGAAGAACTCAGATTCGTAGGAACAGGTTTTTGTATGTTAAGCATCCGATTGAAGATTTCTTTTGCCATTTTTTTTTTAATGTCATTCGAGATACTACAAACAATTCAAGACACAGTGTGAATAGTAGGAGTGTTGTGTTTCGGAATCCATTTCTTTCTTGTGAATGTTTTCCTTGATAACTTCTTTGTTTCAAACTCTTAAATGTTATGGAATTTACTGAATATGAATGATAAAAAATGTACAAAATAGTCGACTAAGAAGGTAGAAAATTTTTCTCGAGAGTCGCAAGCAGTAGATCGCTCCACATATCGATAGGCCCAGGCAAGCACCAGTGCAAGCAGTCATTGACACTCGCCTTCGATTTCTTGGTCCAGTGATCCCCAGGATGCGCGTCAGCCCTCAGCATCATAGCTTTGGTGACATCCAATACCCCAAACCTCATCTTCCCTCCGCTCTCTTGTCGTCTTACTCTCTCGATCTCTTCTAACTGAATCTTTCTTATCTCCCAGGCGATATCATCCAGGAGTATCCGAGTCTCATTCAATGGCCGAGTCCTATTGCAGTATCCTCCGGTGAGCCAAGAGCCATTCTCAAAGTGTGACGATGTGAAGGTCCTCAAGAAGGTGACAAGCCCTTCACAATCCTTGCATGAACTTATGTACTGCAGGGCTGTTCTGAGCGCCCTTCTGATGGTCACAGTGACGTCGAACTCTGTCAGGTTTTGCCCCCTGCAGTTGATGCAACCGATCATCTTTCCCTCTTCATACAAATGGATCCCTCTGAAGAACCAGTTGCCACCGGAGAGGACGGCATAATCTACACCAGGAAGCTTCTCTGCCCAATTGGTGCTCACCTTGTCCAGGTGAATCTCAAATGAGTTTGAAGCTGTTCCATTTATGATTCTCGGTCTCGCTTCTACGAAATACTCTGTCCACATGACCATGAGGGTGAAATCATGCGGTGGGAAGTACCATGTCACGTATTTCCCAATTGAATCCCTGGAAACTTCCCTTGGAGTCTCTGCCTGCACCACAAGTAGCACATCATGTTGTAGTCGTAGCTTCAGTTAATCTCGGGCGTCGAATTAGCACCAGCAATGAAGGCATAAGATATCACCTGAGACAGGAGGCATAGCAAAGAATCGATCTGATTCCGGGCCAGGGAGTCTCCGATGAAGGCCATCTTCTTCCCTCTAACTATGTTCAAGAACGTCTCGGGCTCAAACCTCGGTATGTCGCAACTATCCGGTTGCCATCTCCAATACAAATAGCTCTGATCCTTGCCATACTTGCCGCAGTTATTGATATCAGGGTACGTCGGGCATGTCAGGTTGGTGTAGATCGATGCTCCTGCTTCTTTCACCCACTTGCCCTTCGATGTGTCGCATTGCTCTTCGTTGCCATCTGCACCGACAGAAGAAGGAAGTTACCATCATAATGCATCGACACTGCCGAGCAGTGGAAGAAATGTGGTGCAGTGAAGTTACCAGCGGAGAGTTGTGGGGAGGAAGAACTGTTGTGCACTGGCGTCACACCGCTGGTGTTAGCAGGGAGAGAAGGGCTTTGGTTTGAGACATCACTGGTGGTGACGAGAGGGCTTTGGGTGAGAACAGCTTTGATGCTGATGCTGAAAGTGGAGGATGAATGCATGATGAAGAGGGCAAGGATGGTGGAGATGACCAGTAGCCACAGCAGAGGGCCGACCTTCCTCTGGATCACACTCCACTCCATGCTTGCTGCAGTGGAGCATTGGCATGGAGGGAGGGAGAGAGAGAGAGAGCAGGAACCATCTTAATGGACATGGCATGGGAGCCCAAGGTATGTGGAGTATTCAGAAGGGTGGGCACAACCACTCTCAACCTGCTTCTTCCCTCGTTAGCTCAACTGATGAGGAAATTGCAGAGGACGAGTGACCTTGGGTTGTATGGAAACTTGGTTTGCTTCTCATGGTAGGTAGGTAGAACCGGTGGCGGAGTTGCCTTCATCATCAACCTTGGTTTCACTACCAAATCAAAACTGGGAAGAGACACCATTGCCGAACATTGTTGTTATGGACTCAACCTCGACACCTACCACAGAGCTCCCATAAAACTTGTCTTTGCAGTTGTCACCATTGCTGAACATTGTTGTCATATCATAGTGTGTCCATCCATATTCATTATTACCTTCAAAGAAGCTTCTCTTTGCAGCCAGCCTCCTTTCAACGGAGGCAACATCTTTTCCGGTTAACTTGGCAAAATATTAATCTCCTTTCAACGGAGGCAACATCTTTCAAAGCGCAATCGTTGATGTCACTATATGCATCCAAGAGCTGTAGTTTACTTGAGATTGGTCACCATGGTATCTTTAATCTTTTAACCAAAGATACAGCACATCTGAGGAGGATAATGCCAAGCAAGAACGATATAATCAATCCAATCCATCCAGGAATTCCAACAGTCGATAACCTGGATAGAAAAGCCACGTCCCAAAATGCTAAGCACAGTTTAGTTTGCAGCATCGACAGTAACCATCGGTAGAGGTGTAGCAGAAAGTATCAGTGGAAGAAGTACCCAACTTTTCATTGGTCAACGGATCACACGGTTGGGTGTGGGTGCATTAGTTTACCTAACAAATGTATCGAGCAACACCATTAATGACATGAACACAACGAAACACCGCTCAAGTCCTCCTCGGCTGTGACTTCTAACTCCAGTTTACACGTTCGTGCTTGTCTTGAGGAAAGTGTTTGGAGACAAAATTTAGGGTTTCCATTTTCCTCTTATTTGCTTTGTTGTTAATAATGACACAATCTGTCTTATTTGCTAGTGATTTGGGCTAAACCTATCATCTAGATTTAGCTCATTAAAATATTTAAATTGAAATCGATAATAATACATTCATCCGATTCTTCTTATGTATCGATCATAATTTTTATTCATTTTTGATATGAAACTAATCTAGTATTATAAATAAATAATATATATATATAATGATAATAATAATAATGATTGAGAAGAAGCCTTAGCCCCGTTAGATGATTAGGCCTTTGAGATAAATATTCGAAAAAAGATGAACAGCTTAGTATTAGATAGAAGGACATTATTCCTTGTTCTCCTTTAATAGATATATTAGGAATAAAGACTGACCATGGTATATGTCAGATGGTTCTTTTTTGTTTTTCTAATAAAAAACAGGTTATCTATATCAAAGTATTACAAAAGACACTTGTTAACATACCAGTAAAAATATAAATTATCCTCATTTAATGATATGATTTTATGATGTCTATATTTTATAAATATGATAAATGATATGCTCATATTTTTTTTATTTTTAAGATTGAGGTACATCAAATGATTTTATTTTAAGCTAAAAAGAAATGTATATTTAAGTTTTTTTATAAAATTTTATAATAATTCAAGATTGTTTGATCAATTAAAATAGTAAAATAAAACTTCTTCGTAGAATTATGTGATAGTTTGATTTAATTTAGGTTAATTATATATTATCTCTTGTAATTAGTTGTCGTTAATATCTTAATCCTTACAATTTCAAAAGTTATATTGGAATTCCTATAATAACGATAGTGAAATATTGAAATATCTACATAGAGTTTAAAATATAATTTTATAATATTAAAAATTAAGAGATTTTATTAGAATAATGAGTTAAATATTTTATTTTCGTAAAACTATAGAATCTCAATGTAACTTTTCAAAGTACAAAAATCGAAATACTAAAAATAACTAATTAGTGGGGATAATATGTAATTAGTCCCACTTAATTTTAACTAATAACTAATTAGTGGACTGAGTTGACTTGATGCATTATATTGCAGTGATGATCGAAACTAGTATGATAATTTGTTTTATAAAACAATTAAAAAAAAAATCTTAACCATATGCTTACTACTTACGTTGTATCTGAAAGAATATATCTTTTTGATCCCTTCCCTTCCCTTCCCTTGTAAGGTAAATGCCGATTATGGCTATCATGTAGATTCGTTTGTCACGTTCTTAACAATCTCACTGTATTTGAACTTCTCAAAATTGCTGCTTTCTACAGTATAATCTACAGAAACCAGAAGCAAAAGCTTCTTCTTCCCCAAATTATTATCTGAACCAGAGGTACCAGAACTGATGCGCGCTCTCTCTCTCTCTCTCTGTCTGTCTAATGAACGTGACAATGTGAGCCATGCCAAAGATTGCAGGTTGGCCGCCAGCAACAACAGCCATGGTCCCAACTCGAAATTGCAGCATCGGCCATGGCCAAGACCATGAGTTCGTTAGCAGCAGCAGCAGCAGCAGAAGGAGGAGGCGCGGGCGGGAGGCCAGATGAGATGCCTTTGCTCCGTACCGCACTCATTGAGCTGTATTGTTTGGATGTATTCCATCCCAATCTGATGCCATGTCCCCCATTACCATTCCATTATTCTCTCTCTCTCTCTCTCTGGCCATGTATCCTGCTCACGGAAGATGAGTCTCTTCAGGCAAGGCCAAAGCAGGAAACAGCAGGAAAGGGAGTAAAGCTGCTCTCGCTCTCTCTCTCTCTCTCTGCGCTTTAAAGTGCTCTTGGGAACGTCTGGTTGTATGGCTCGTGAGCCATACTTTTGTGTGCTTTTCCACTCTGCCTCTCCTACAAAACGATGCTGCAAGGACATTAGCCTACAGTGCAAGAATCTGGCAATCACCACTCCATCAACAAGTGGGCTCCTGTACTGCTGAAACATCTCACTACTCAATTCTCCTAATTTTATAGAATGACTGCCACATTTCCTACGAGTACTATATATATATATATATATATCATATGGATGGAACGAGATGTTGATGTCACTTAACTCACCTTCACCATTTTATAGAATCACTGATGCCAGAAAGACTGATTCTGCTCATATATCTTAATGCATTATCCAACAAAAGATTTGATTCATATCTGCAAAAGGTAGCAACCGATGATAACAAAAAAGGCATGAAAGCAGATATGTTCTCATTCAAAAATTAATTGCTCTGATTTGGGCATTTCCAGTTGCAGAGTTAGGAACATGAACTGTAGAGTAGCTTTTCCAAAAGGTAGCAATAGATGTATCAATTTTCTTTTATTGATTTGGAATAACACAACCTTCAAAAGACATCATTCGAGGGTGCAGCCTGAAGCCAGATGAATACACATCCTCTCCAGGTTGACATGCATTGTCTAAACAATACATTAAAGATCCTTAACAATCAATCACACAAACAAAGAAAACCAATCTCCATAATACATACTGATGTGGCTGACTGAGGAGGACATCGGCCCCACCGACAACAGATGTGGAGCAAACTGCCATTTGGAATCTATCCTTGCTCACATGTAGTACTGGTTACCCGCATCTTTGACTGCCATCTCATTCTCACCCTCGGCTGTAGAAACACCCAATCAGTTGATATCTCTTTCATCCAGCAATGAGTGCTAACTGTGATTCTTACAGCCCCCACACCCTCCACAAACAAGATCATGTCCCTCCACTCTCACCACCAGAAAATAATGGCAGATCCCCCTCCCTCGAGAATCTGCTACACTTTGCTATCATAGCCTATAAAGATAGCAAAGATCCACAAATGAAAGAACTTCAAGAAAAAAAGAACCAAAAATAATAATCATCCACCCGGCTTACTTCCTCGTTAGACACACAATCATAAACCAGAATCCTAATTGCTTCACTAAGATCCCCAGACTCCTCTGAAAAATAATGAGGAATCTGCAAATCCAAAAAAAAAAAAAGAAATTGCCTACGCACTGTAGAAATATGCAGCTGATTTTACGAAGCCCACTTCCTAGAATAGGAAAAAAAAAAAAAAAAACTTATCAGGTTTCCTGTAAACTCTCCTTGTCATTATCCACCCATCAGCAATTATTGTTCAGCTTCCTTCTTTTATTGGGTGGGGAAGAAGAGGATGATACACTTGGCCCCATGTTCATTGGGGTGGCAACTCTGAGTTGCGGAAGAATCATTGGAGGCTCTCTCCTCGTTATATCGACAATTACTTGCTTGAGTGATTGATAGCAATCGGCAATCCCTTCCTATAAAAAAGAAAAATGCAGCCTAGTATACTTTTTTTCTATCAAAGCTGCACAGTTTTAGCTACTTCGAGACTGAATTTTTCTCACCTCTATTAATCCGGTGCACCACGATGCTGCAATACCAGGATTAACAAATGTTAGATCCTTAACCTCATCGGTCGCACAAATAATGGAAGCTGCAGCAAGTGATGATGGGCGGTGACTTAGGAACTTTATGTCTGTTACACCAAATGTTTCAGCTTAAATCGAGAATGCAGTTCTTAATTATTCATATTGTAATGACAATCATAATTACGTAACCTTTCGTTGTTGCCAATGTAATTTCGGTGACCCGTGAAACCAAAGATCTTGCATACTTTCCTGCAGGGTCGATCTTGTGAACAAAGAAATTAATGAAAGTGAAGGGTGTCACAGATCGCAATCTCCAGTTCAATGCATTGAGCACGAGAAGCTCCATTCTGAGAATTGTGCGAGGTTCGAAAATGAACTTTGCACCCTCAACCTAAGCAAATCAAAAAAATGAAGATTAGCAAAGACAGTTGACCAAATAAAATGTGTTGAGGTTTCTTTTACCTGCAAGTCTAATAAGGATGGCAGCAGGGTCTCCTCCAATTTTGCAGCCAGGGAGAGGCATGCCACCGACAGAAGTTGCAATGCCCATTCATTTTGCTGCATGGGCAGATCGAACATGTATGAGATAACCTATCTTCTTAAAACAAAAAATAATAATAATGGAAAAGGTTCCATGATACAACTAATAAGACTGTGCTGAATTTTGTTCTATTTTTATGTTTGCAGATGCAGCTAGGATCATTGTCACCCCCAAGTTAGCAATTAAAAAAGTACATGTGAATGCTAACTTTGTGGATGAGAAGACTAGTATTTATTCTCCATCATCCAATCCTGTTCTTTCCCTAATTTTTCTGGACTGACCAGAAATGTTAGGTAAACCAACCCTTCTAACCTAGTGTAAATGATCACTTTCCTTTCCATAGGGTCTTAATAGTACATAGAAGGAAGCCTAAAATTTAGGAATCCAAGTCGAAAGCATAAAAAACAGGGGCTTGCACACTCATATTTACTCATGTGCCAAAACTGCATCATCATCCAAATCGGAGAACATTTTCAACTCTTGCCTCTACAAAGAAAAACTAATAGTATTTTTTTTTTCCTCTATGCACAAACAAAAAAAATTATTTTTCAATATGGCTCCAAAAGTTTTACTAATATTAATGAATCTACAACCACCCTTCTATCCATAATCCATAGGAACATACATACTTTCTCATCGAACTCCCTTATGTGGCCAAACTTAGTTTCCTTAAGATGAAACTGCAAAACAACCAAAGATGTATAAAGATTTTAGCATTGGTTATTTGTCATTCCTCGAGTCACGGGAAATCTCAAACTCATTCCTTTTAAGAATTAACATAAAGCTATAATGTAATTACGAGAAGAGGAGCGAAGAACATTGGGAATGAACAAACCGGTAAGCGGTGAGAAGAGAGGAAGCGATCCAAGTAGTTAACGGCAAGATACGCCGTCAATGGACGGAAACCGTAGTACACATGCACCTGAAAAGAAGGGAAAAGAAATAACAATAGAGCACTTAAAACTTCCGCCAGACGACGGTAAGGGGATCCGGCTCGAGATAGCAAATCACTACAGAATCGAGATAGCATGCGCCGGCGGGGGACCTTGAGGATCCAGGCGACGGCCTCCTGGCGCGCCACCGAGTCGAGCGATTTGGACCGGAACCGGTCCGGGTAGTCGAACCCGGGCGAGTAGTCCGTCTCCGCCGCTATGAGCCCGGCGATGGATTCATCCGATTCATCGGGGAACTCGACCAGACCCACGGCGCCGCCCGGCGAGTCTCCGGTGAGTACACTAGCGTCTTCCCTGCACAAAAGGTCGCCGCAGGAGGCGTGGTCTGATGGCGTGAACGGCATGGTCTCCTCATTGCTTTCCCATCGTCGCGGAACACCAAAAGCCCCCGCACAGAGAGATAGAGGAAAACGTAGAGAGAGAGAGAGATAGAGAAAAAGAGACTGGGATAGAGCGAGTCAGAGAGAGGAAAAGGGATGGGGAAGGCCGGAAGGGGAGAAGAAGAGAATATGGCAGTGGAGAGAGAGAGAGAGAGAGAGAAGAGAGGGAGTACAGAATGATAAGAGGTTTCGTTCTTCGATGTATATATTTTATGATAAGGCGAGTATGCAAGTAAAAGAGAATATATATATATATATATATATATTCGAGATTTAGGATATCTTATTGAATATTATAAAACATAATCTCAACCAACACAACGAAGAAGCTATGAAATATAGTCTTCTAATATTATACGAGAAACAATATCATAAGAGATAGACATTGGTGTCAATTATAATATTTTTCAAAAGCTATATAGTGTTTTGGACACCTCACAAAAAAGATTATAAATCAACCTAATAACTTGTACAAAACACTATGAATCACCCTAATAACTGACTCCTAGCCTTACAAATATGATCTTCTAATACCCTATATATAACAAACAGTATCATAAGAGAGAGAAGATCATATCAATTATAATATCTTTTAATATCTATATAGTGTTTTAGATTAATTGTACAATGTTCTAGATATCTTATCAAAAAATAATATTGAAGAAAAAAAAACTCTTTCTAATGCTCTACTGTTCTAAATATCTTTTGTAATCTAGATAATGAAGATTCGAGTTACGAAAATAATCTTTTTAAATATTTAAGAGTAAGACTACATATATTGATTATCTCTAGTAAGAAAAATATGAAAGTAAGTTTTTCGATTATGTATATAAGTGGTAAAGTCTGAATATCACATTTTATATATTTTAGTATCAAAATATTAATCTAATAATAGTTTACTTGACATAAATATAGGTAAAGATTAAAAAAAATCTTAAGATGAATTCTCTAAAGGTTTTTTTTTTTTTCATTTCTATATTTCATAAAGAGAGCTAATTCCATTTATAAGAAAACCAAAATATCCTAAACACTTAGTTATCTGTCAAAATAAAAATTTGGGCTTGAATAATTATGGTTTATAATATATTTGAACATTGTTACCTTAATTTTGATTTATAGTGTTTTGGAATAGGGTGAAGATATTTTTTATTACTAAAACAAATAACCCTATAACTCCATTGGAATGTATTGTGATGGAACAATAATGTCTCATTATCATTCCTTCCTAATAAATGATTGCAAACATTGTAAGATTTTTTAAATATTTTAACCTAAAGTTAAGAGAAAGTGAACAAAAAAAAAATTAATAGAATTGTTATTATGGTTTGTTTGAAATTAGGACTAAACCATCATAAATTTCATCCAAAATGATTCAAATTCTCATACTAATAAGTTTATAATACTCCCATAGTTATTTATTGATAATGAAATTTTTAATTGACTAAAATTGAGTTATAATATTTTTTTTATTAGGGTTATAATGTTTTAATTTGGTGACAAAAACACTACAAGTCTATTCAAAGATATTCTAACTAAAATTTAAATTAATTAAAATAAAAATAAAATATATCATAACCCTATTAAAAAAAAAAGTTCGATTGAACCAAAAGGGCTGTAATTTAATACTAAATCAGTTCGATCATAATATGTTCGCTAATCTCTACTTATGATGATGATATCAGACGGTCGTCGTCGTTCAAATGCCACCAAAATGTTAACAGAGAACCATCGAATTCCCGGCCAATCAGAGGACGAAGCCCAGTCAAAGTGCAGTCAAAGTGGGGTCCGGCATCACACTGTTTGCACTCTGCCCAAATCAAACCCTTACGGTGGAGTCGGTAACTCTTAATCCGTTTGCCTCCTCTGTCTTCTTCCCCAGCAGATATAATAATAGATCAAGTGGGGGGAAGAAAACCTGCGCAAGAGCCATGTGAACTCGAGTCTCTATTTACTCCATTACCATCTCTTGTGGTGCTGAGTCGGGTGACAACTTTTTGCCTGTAGCCAGCCAGCCAGCCAGCCAACCAGCCATTCACCACCGGCCATGGTGGGCAGCAGGAAGATTCCAGCAGCAGGTAAATGCGATGGGTGTTGTTGGAATGCAGTGTTGACCATCGGTCAAACTGACAAATCTGGGGACATTATGGTATGGCTCGAGGGTTGGGAGCTTGTGCCACAGGTCTGCAGGGAAGGCATGGGAGTCGGTGCATGAGAAGAATAAATGTCCGGGCTCTGTTGTCACCTTGCAAAGTAAAAATATAGAGTGGTTCACAATAGCTTCATCTGATGAGGAACAATACAGAGTTGGGTGATGATGCCTCAACACTTGAGATCCAAATGCTTTGTCAAGCCCTTCCTTGTGCCTAATAACTCTTTCTGATTTACTATGATCTCTTTATTCTCGTGCTATAAAGATCTGCATAACTCAGTTATGGGGCTCTTTTATTGTTTCATGCAATTGTTCATGTACTTAATTCATCTTCCACACATGACACGGTTGATGTGCCTGCAAAATGAAATCACTCGAGACCGCAGGTTAGCATCTTCCCGACTTCTGTCAGGTCACTGATGAGCTGCTCATTCTCCAGGAGTAGCTCGAATGCCAGTGAGGCGCTTGTTGAAATGTTGGTAGGCACTCCCTACCAGGAACCAAACCACAGCTTGAGCATTGTTCTAGGAGTGTCCACATTTATCGAGTACTGACATTGCACGAGCCTTCCCAGGAAACGCTTCTCTCGAGCACCAGCGCACAGCAATCTCTCTCGGCGACTCCCACTTTCCAATCCCTATAGCTCCTGCTCGAGTTTGATTTCTATCCCTACTCTACGAAGTTAGGTTTGCTGAGATCGGCTGTGGGTTTGGTGGATTGCTTGTTGGCCTCTCTCGCCTTCTATTTCCAAATAGTCTTAATGCTAGCTAGACATGGAGCTCCGAGATTAGGTATGAAGTAGCTTTCGTGCATAATTCTTGAGGAGGAATAGTTTATTAAGTTAGTAGTTTCATTCTGGAGGAGGAAGAACCAGTTTTGACATCTCTACAGTTTGTGATAAGCGAGTCGGAGAGCATGATGCTCTGGTCTTATAATTGGCTTTCTTCCAAGTACAGAAGCCCGACTGTCTGTCGAGCTATCTTATACGATGCTGCTTGTTTTCCGGCAGGCAGCTGCTTGCTGCTGCCCTTCTCTTAATGCCGAAGCCTCGGTTCTCCTGATTCTTTGGATTAATGGATTGTCTATATATATATATATGGTATGTCTACAACTGATCAGAACTGCATCCGGAAGCAAAAGAATGATCATGACAGCGAAGACTTGCAAGTTGAGAGTGTTAGGCACTACTCTCACCTCCTTCATGGTTACCAACTCATGTCATCATCAGAACCGCTGCCATGGATCCCCCGGAGTGAGTTTAATCATTAACCGAAGAGAAAAAAGGATCATTTTTTTCTTAGCAGCTGAGACTATGTTGACGATTCCATTCTTGCCTTAAAAGGTTGCTGAAAGAACTCCATGTCGCAGGGTAGTTGAGCGAGGTGGTGGTGGTGGTGCTCGCCTGCATGCTCTCGTGCTCGAAAGTAAAAGCTTTGGATGGACCCTGGTGATGCAGATACATTGATTGCACGAGGCCACTACACAAAAGCCATACAAGTAATGATGAGTAGCGTCGTGTGAGCTTTCTTTCAGGTATCCAAACATCCAAGTGGGCGGATCTTTGAAGCATCCAATGCGGAGATTTCATATATTTATATATAATCTTTCTACGATCATTCCCCAAACTGTAGGAATTCTTTGGTGATTCGAGTCAGGAGATGCCACCCTCCCCTGCTCTTCTTCTTCTTCTGAGCTTTCGTCTCTGCTAAATCTAATGCATACATATCTCCTGTTATATACCATTGGGGATGCTTCGATTTATAGGATTCCAAGATTCCTATTTAAGCCCAACAACTTTGCGGCTATAAACCAAGCAACAATGGGATGGACATAAAGGATTCTGATGGCCGTTCTCATCCTCCTCCAGTTCTTGATTTGTTGTTCTCTCTCCACCGGATTGCTACTCGAAAATCGAACTAATAAGAGACATATAAGCATGTTTTAGATAAGTTTTGAACAATAAGAAGTTGTTTTTAACATCAATATCACTATATCTAAAAAGTAGATTCTGATGGACTTATATAAATGTGCACTGACTTTTCTATCAAATAATATTACTTTTCTTATCCACTATTCTTCCTCTCTTTTCCTCTCATAGCATTGCATGAAATTGATGAAAGTGTCCGAACCATCTGGCTATATTTTATTGCTCTTTTTTTTTTTTTTTTAGTCTTATAAAATAAGCGCAGTGTTTTATATAATTTAAATTTATTTTTATTTTTTAAAAAAATAAATGATAAAGAAGAAATTCGAATTCATTAGAATAAACTGTTAGAAACTCTATCGAACATTTCAATTTAATCTCACAATATTTATTTGTCTTTGGAAACTCCACTATCCATGTCTATCGAACTCATTCTTACCGACAGCGTGATCGACACCTATTTCATTGGATCGCTACTGTTCTTGTAAGGCCTACGCTATGGGGCAGGATGAAACTACTTGGGTGCTGGATTTGGGCTTACAAGCCGGGAAAGATATCATCGACAAAATTGCCGAAAGCGCCTACCTTTCCCCTGATCAAGATTAATCGTTCTAAGCCACTTCCAATTCAGATTCAATATGGATAAATATTTGAATCGACTTGCAGGATAGGATGATCTTAGGATCTTAATAGTGTGCTACTATCAACCTGGGTTGAAGCATTTTAGACTAATGTTTCAGGCTTAATATAGTTAATGAGCTTGGATCTCGATAGTGCTAGCTAGCGTTCATGAAATCCTGTGCTATATGGCTCGGAATCTTTACGAGCATGGCGATCCCCACGAATGTTTGTGCCGTGACCTCGTCATCAAGCTTCGATTTTGGTCACCATACCGTACCTTTCTTTTCGTCCATCTATAATGAGCTATTACTGTTAATGCCCAAATGCAGTCGGAAACAGTCCTCGTCAGGATTGTACTTCACTGTTATGCACCACACAGCAGCATTCGGAATCGAGAGCGTGGCACAGACACAGATGCCGGCAAATTATAAGCTGACAATATAGTATGAAGAACGACA